AAAGGATGGCAGAGAGAGAAAAGCCAAAGAAACAGCAAAAGCTCATAAAGCACCAGGGTGTGGAAGAGTTAAAAACCCAACCAAACAAAAACCCCAACCAGCTTAAAAAGAATGACCCAGATCAAAAAAGTCACCAAGCCAGAGTTTACCAATTTAAGACCTACTAGGAAAGCTATTTTAATATGCTCTCCCCTCAGCTTTCTGCGTCTGCTCCTGGAGGGACTTATAACAAAAATTATGAAGACAGAAGAAAAAACACACCATGAACAAAAATATGATTGGCTTATTTCTGTTTCTATGTAAGCTTCCAAAAATATCGAGAAAGGTTGTCAAACCATTTTTATTTCTCTACAATATTTCTCCTTCCTTTTTCATGACATTATCTTTTGTTTGCCTTTTGTTTATTCATAATACAGCTACAGTTTAAACAGACAATAGAAGCTATGCTATTACATAATTTAAAATCAGATTGGCTTGAAATGCAAGGTTACGTTTTTGGAGTCTGACACTATTCTTGTTATCATCAGCAAGGTCTCACACATTAAGAAAAGTCCCATTTCATCCTCTTAGCAGGTGACACCATAAAAATATTTAACAGCCTCCCCTTTTTCAGCATTCGTTTTACTGATAGGATTGGTTTTCTGCTCTCCTCAAATTAAAGTTTAGTACTACCTCCTTCCATAGTAGGCTTTTTTCCAACTGATTTTAAAATAGTTGCTCTTGTGTATCATTTTCCTTTAAAGGAAGAAAGACTCTTTCATAACATCGAGTGTTCACAGAGAGACCAGGAAGATCCGTCTAATACATCGGAAGGATGTCATATCTAGACTATCTTTTGCATGGTCAACTAAAGGTCTGCTAGCGTGGCTGGGGAAAACACATACAGAGCTGGGTCTCTTCCATCTCTTTCACTGAAAAAAGTATCATAACTTTAACTGAAGCAAGCACTGACACTAAAGACGCAAACCACAAGGCTATCCTACTCTCTCATGCTGCAAGAATCTGATTATTTTGTAGGAAATGGTACAAGCTCAACCTCAGAGACACACTTTAGAAGACTCAGCAGCTACTGAAAGCTGGAAAGTGAAAGTTCAAAATTTAGCAGAGTAAAAAAAAAAATTATTCTAAGCCTCCTTCATTCCTCTCACCTGAACAGTTCCATCTCCTTCCTATAAATGCTCCAAGTGTTCCAGTGCATGTCTAAAAAAAAAAATCTGTACTTAATATTTTAGTAGAGGTTTAATGCCAGATGATGAGTTAGTGTTCAGGTTTAAGTGACTGCATAATAATCAGTGACAGAAATTTACAGGCCTTCAGGAATTTCATGATTGAGAAAGAATGATGTCTAGGATTAATGACAATGTGACCTGCATTCCGAGGATCTCAATGTTAAGGCCAACCATTTTACTGCCACTTTAGACAGGCAGCCTTTTTTGGGGGTGAACTAGCTCCCAAAGAGTTCTGCAAGGGAGCATTCCGCATCATGTCATGTTCATCTGAAATTATCTAAACAATTTAGCAGCACAGACTATCTAACAGAATAAACATCTTGTAAAAAGGCAAAAAAGATTTGAACATAAAAGGATGCCATGTTTCTAAACTCAGTATCGGATAACATATCATTATCCATTGCTTGAGCTATCTAACCCTTTTTTGTTGCAAGTCTGTAGCATGTGCTTGATTCAAACTGCTGCAGACAGGAGCTTATTAATACTGCTTATCCATTAATGGGACTACAAACATCACACAACACACAAGGCTTTAGAGCAAGGTACCTAAAACAAGATAAGCAGGATTAAAGCATGCCTTTTTATGCTATAAAAGCAATTTGTTCCCCAGAATTATTTTCCAACTTGACTGGAAGATTATCATAAGTATGAAAGAAAAGGGCAAGGGAAAAAAAACAAACCAGCGTTCAGACGGTGACATTGTAAAACCATATTCCTATTTCAGGGATGTGAAATAATTTACAAGATAATACAACATAAAGTATTTTCCATACATAATAGTTTATTCATGCCAGAGGACAGATCCAGTCGTAACTAATCAGTGGAAAAGCTTAATGCAGTAGCTGCAGAGATAATTCATACTGTAACTGTAATTAAAAAAACAACTAGGAAAGTCCTTCCTATGACAACAACAACAGTAATTTCCATTTATAATCGCCTTCTATGACAATCACAAGCATCTTTACAACAGAAAAAAAGGACAGCAATGGGTACTTCCCAATGGTTAAAACCTATGAGCACGATTTTGTGCTTGAAAAAAAAAAATTCACAGAGAGTTATAAATAAAAGCACTGTGCAGGAAGTTTGTCAGGCAAAAGTTTAAACAGAAGCAGCCTGAGCTGAAGTGCCCACGCCCAGCTAGAAGCAGTATCTGGTCTCAGGACTGGTCTACATACAAACCGAGACCGGTTTCACCAAACCTATAAACTTTAAAGCCAAGCCGAAGGCTATGTGGGTATTTCAGTGGGCTCACATGGCAACCGACAGCAATTGAAGTTATCATGAGTTAGCAGAGCTGAAATAATATTTGCATACTCTTAGCCCATGGCAACCATGAGGGATGGTGACTCTGTATAGAAAGAGGCTTAACATAAGGCAAGTTACATTGCCTTTCCCATGAAAAGAGATCACACGGTGACTTATCTAACACATGGTAACCTGCCAACCACTGAGACTTGAAGGTTGAGTCTATCAACAGCTGGTCAACTTTATGTAGTTTTTCTTCTTTCAGTTCATAAGCAGGTTCAAGCTAAAACTAAAGATGTCAGTCAAGCCAAAACAAGTGTCCACATAGGGCTTAGCTCAACTGAACTAGCTTCAAATCAGTCTTAACCTAAAGAAGGGCCACAGCTAATACAACTTTTAACATGATCAAAGCAAAGTGTATTAAGGATTCCTCTTTGGCTGGAAAAGATGGCTATGCCAGCCAGCTCAAATAAGCCCCGTATCTAGTCAAACCTGTCAAAGCGCCTTTGTACTGTAGAGCAACTGCACAAAAGGAGAGTCAGTACACGAGCCCCTCACCAGTTATTGCACCCTCTTCAGATGAGAGAAGAGGGTTCAGAATTCCTGCTATGATGTTGTTGAGGGGTGGGGGATGACAACGCACAGCCTGAGATCAGCAGAGATGTGGAAGGGAGAGTGCATTTAAAGAAGTAGCACCAAGACAGAGGAAGCAAAGCAGCTGGCTTACAAGCCATCCCAACAGGCACCGAGCTACAGCAAGCTGGCTACTCATGCTAGAAGCTTCTGCTCCAGAATAGTTCACGTGCAGACAAAGACAAAAAGCATAGGCAGGAGCAGCTACATCCTAGCTAAAACCAGCTGTGGAATGATTGTAGGCTTTTAGAGGCTCCAGGAATGAGGGGGTTGACATCAGGCATTTTGTTCAGTGCTAACACCAGAGGAAGTCAGATTTTAGAGGGGAAAAAAAGTGAGACAATAAGCCTATATAACAGTTTTGATGGTAATTTCTGCAAGCATCATCACTGGTGCACAGTTCAGGGCATGCCCGGTAAGAATAAATCAATAGTATTTTCCTTCGGTGTTTGGTGAATAAATCACTCTAGAAAATATCCTGACCTTGCATCATCAATTTCTGTTTTATGGGAAGTCAGTTGCTGTCCTTAGGCAATGGTAAAAGTATGCAAGGTTGGAGAACATCAAGAGAAAAAGAAAGAGCCCAAATAACAATGGACAAAACATATTAACAACCTGTCCTGACTTGATTAACTTGAAATAAGACAGCCTCAACCCATACAGAGTAATGTTTTCTATAGGATTTTGGCATGTTCAGATCTGTCTCCACTTTAGGTTCAGAAAGTTTTCAAGGGTCCAAATTAGCAAACTACTACTTCCCATAATAAAACTTTGGCATATGAACCATGTAATAGATAGCTCTTAGCATCTCACTGGGTTAGGCAATGACATCATACCCAAAAAGCTTGCAAAACACAAAGATGTAGCAAATGCAGACACTCTGCTAGTTCTAGTCAAACTCTGAAGAATTTACCATAGTAAAAAGCAGGTGCAACACACTGCATATAATAAAGTGCCAATCCCAGCAATATGTCTGTGCCTAAGACAGAGTTCCACAAAAATGTCACCTCAGTGCTCAGTAGCTGTCACAGAGCCAACTGGGTAGGGACAGGAGTTACTAGGAAAGAATAAATCTGTGGTTCCCCACATCTTGAGAACTCTGTATTTGTGGTTCCCACACCTCATCTAGGAAGGATGTTGAAATGCAAAAGACCCAGAGAACCACCACAAGGACAATCTATAGGCATGAAACACTGTCAGTATAAGTAACATTTTAAAAGATGAGGATTCTTCAGACTGCATTATCAGAACTGAAGGGGCAGTACAGGACCTGTACTATAGTGACAAAAGGACATGATGCTCACCATCTGTGCCAACACAAGAACTAGAAGGCATCAAATACTGCTAGTAAAAACCAGGTTTAAGTCAGACAAATGCAGATACTTCTTGACACAGGCAAGGCTGGGCTGTGAAACTCCCGAGTAAAGGATGCTGTAGATGCTAGCAGTTTACTGGAGTTCAAAAAATAACTGTACAAATTCATGGAAGAGAAGTCCATCAATAGTTGCCAAATAAAAAACAAAAAACAAACCACAAACAAAAAAACCCCAACAACAAAAAACACTACTCTGACTTCGGAGTCTAAGTCATAAAATTACTTACGAAATTATTCTGGGAGAACACCACCACCACCTGTTTAAGAACTGTTAAATTCTTCCTCAGATTTTTCCCCAACTAAAGGCCACTGTCAATGCAAGACAGCAACCTAGAAAGGCCTTGAAATGTACTGCATCAATTCTCGTGTAGGCATTTTTCTTTTTAGCTAATAAACCCCTTCTAAAGATAAGCAAGATTTTCAATGCAATAGCCCATACATTAATTTCATAATGCTTCAACTCACTTCCCTTCTCCCTTGCCTTCCCTCTCTCTCTTTTCAGATTAAAGAAAATCCAGATGGGGTGCAGGTGCTGCAAAATGATACAAAGGTACAACAGAACAAGAGTTGCTTAGACTGAATAAAAGAAATGCATTAAAACGTGTCTGTGCTCCTCGACACCTGTTGCTTAAGTTAAGCCTATTTACAAGGTTGGAGTTTTCCCCAAAGTTTGCAGTATCTTTAAAGTCACAGGAAATCAGCGCTGTGGCATGAATGTCCTTTTGATTTGCTGTAATTGAGGTCTATTTCTATAATTCCTCTCCCACAGGAAAAACTGTGGCATTGAAAACTCATCCTCAGCAAAGCTTTTTCTCATTTAAGTATCATGAGCTTCCCTCAATTCAGTAGAACAAGGAGCATAGACTTTGTCAGATCCTCCCTCTCTCCTAAGCAATGAAAATGAACTACAGATCCTTGCTTCCATCAGAGCTTTTAAATGTAGTTAGTTGTGGGAAAAATTGCCACATTAAAAGCGTTCCTGGAGAGGAAGACTACCTAGTTTTAGAAAGACAACACTTCAGCCCCACTTGATGGTTACTCTTTGGCCACATCTCTAGAACAGGTAAGGAAGTGGGAAAGAAAACTTGTGCTATAAGAGAATGAGCAGAGATAAAGAAGAGAGAGGCTCTGGAATAAATAAATCAAGGAAAATATGGAGCGAGAGGAACAAATTAAGAAAGGTAAAAGGAGGGGACAAAAATTTAAAAAAAGAAAAGAACAAAAAGATAAGACTTGAAAGGAAGGACACCAGGAAAGAGGGAAATATTTTAGCAACTACATGAGGATATATTCATTAACAATTTATGCGATGACTACTCGTTGTCTAATTACAACCCCCCTAGAGAAAATTAAAAATAAAGCTGGACACATGCAAGAACCAGCACACAGTTCTCTGACATCCTCCTCATGTTCCTGGTGAATCTCACTGCAGGGGTTAGTTACGATCGGTCCCAGGAGACAGCAGCCTACAGCACAGTTCAGCATTTCCATTCAAGTTTAGCTCATTCTCAGGACCCCAGGTAACGTTTAGTGACACCAGTTCCTCAAGATCTCCAGCTTAAAAATTAAGCTTAATCCTTTTTCTAATTATTTTGATCAACAGCATAATTAACATTTCCTCTACAAATTTTCCTTACTCCAGTTATATTTTTGATCCAGAAGAAGTACAATCGCCTGGATGCATTCATGAAGTGAACAGCTATAAACACAATGAGCAAGGCAGCAACAAATCCAAATTCAAAGAGAGCAGTGAAATTCAAGAACATAAAAACGAACTCCAGATGGATGAGCTAAACAGAACAGAAAATAAAAATCAAGTAAATAGCACGAAAGAAACTCTCTGGAACCACGGAGGCAACGATTTTCAAGAGGATGGCTTTGTGAAGTGCGTTGCAAAGCCTGATGTTGCAGTCAATGGTGGCAACTCCTGTGCTGGAGGGCACTCTATGCTCAGTCCCAACACAAACTCAGTGGAAGAAGCCAGTGCACAGGGAACCTCCAGCCAGTCAGAGGCTTCTTCAGCCAGCAAGAGAGACTTTTACATCAAATCAAATAGGTCTGGCCAAGAACTTGACCTAGAGGCAGGCCAGCAGAGGAAGACAGCCTGCAATGAACCAAGCAGTATTCAAGATGACAACTCCCCGTCTGAAGATGGCAGCATCCTTCTCAAAGGAAGTGTGATACTGGAGACACAAAACAGTGCCATACAACTGCCAGATGTTGGTTATCGCCAAAATGGCAATCAAATCAGGAACTATGTTGAAAAAGATAGCTTTTCAGTCAATTGTGCACATTCAGACCAAAACACTAGGCCTTCAGCAATACAGGACCAGGACCTTTGTGTAACTTCACCTTCGCCTACAAAGGAGAGCAATATTGAACCTTTTAAAACTGACTCCACAAGTTTGAGTGAGAGCATTACTCATGGTATCACTGCTGTGGCTGTTACCAAAGTAGCACTGGCACCCACACACCCCAACCATAAAGACATCAATGGAGAAATTGAGGAGGAAGATGCAGAAGTTGCAGCAGCTCTGGCTGCACTGGAAGCTGCAACTGCAGGGGAAGACCTGGAAGACGATGACGAGTACTAGATGTTTCTTTCTAATACACTGGGTAAGATCCAGATTTTATTTCTGGATCTATATGAACACATGTACAGCACATGTGGACAGCTGTTATGAACAGCATATATAAAAGGAGTTGGGACTAAACTTCTGTCCCTTCAGCTGTTTTACACAGCCTTTTAATTTCTACTGCCTGAGGTACAGAAGTGCTCCCTTGGCTAATGGTAATACTAACACTCTTCTCTAGAGGGCCAACCAGGAGGGCAAAGCATCATTTCTCCCACACAGGATATTCTGCTGTATACCCACCTCACCTGGTCTCACGCAAATGTTTCCTTTGGTTTTGACCCTCAAGAGGGTCTGCACACACTGCCATGTTCCAGGTTCAGAAAACTTCCATTATTTAAAATAGAAACGTAGAAGCCATGGAGTTGGAAACCACAGATTTTCATCATGTTAGCACAAAAAAATTAAACTGAGATAAAAGTTCTATGATCTAATGTAGTATGAAATAGGGAAGGCAGCTTAGCTTGCACTTCACTGCAGTTACATTTCCATTCTGGATTAAGCCTAAATCCGTGCAGCTGGCATTAGGATGATAACCTCCTCTCTTCCCCTCCACTACCCCGGACTTTGTTTGATACCCAAATTGACCTGATTCAGCTCATTAAAACAGCAGACACCTAGCCAAATCCATGAGAGTTGGTAACTTTCTGTTGACTTAATGAGTTGAAGGAGCTCACGGAAAAACTGCACACCCACTATCAGAGATACTGGAGAATGATCAAAACTCAGTCCTACCAGTTTAGTTAGATTAAAACTGTTGTAAAACTACAGCCTGAGACCTCTCAGCTCTACGTTTTCCAGGTACACATCACTTGCCTTAACAATAGAGTATGCAAAGAGGTTGTGTCTCATAAACATCCCCAGCAAGATGCATTTTGTTTATATACAAACAGCAAGAGCCAGTGTGGACCCCTCCCTGGCTCTGCTGTAGTCCTTAAACTTAAAGCAGGAAAGGGACTGAGCTTCCAAGTTGAATTAAGCATAAGACCTGAAAATATCAGCTGCATTCCTGGAGTGTTTACCCTTCCTCTGATCTTCAGACTAGTATGTTAACTTTTCTTGTCAGGAAAAAAAAGAGGTAGAGACCAACTTGGTGCTGCCAGTTCATCAAAAGTTGGATCTTAATGGTTGAAATAGAAAGTGCTTGACACTTTATACTGAAATTTTGTGGTTTCCGAGTTTGTTACAAACGCTTAATAAATTTTTTTTAATTATATAAAAAAATCATCTGGTGGCTTTTGTGCTTTATGCATTTTCTGATTATACAACAGTTACACAAAAGAAGTACTATAAGATGTATCCCTCATTAGATACATGAAAAGCACCAACTATGTATTTGCCAACAACGTATGCTGAATCCTAGTCTAAACATTAAGACACATAAGGATCAGAATATTAGGAGGTGGGTTTTAAGTAATGTGCAGATATTTAAATTATTTCTGTTTAAATGCAGATTCCCTGTTTTACTTCAGATACTGCAAGACCAAATCAAGATTTCAATTTCTCAAAACATTAATTATACCCCTAGCGGTAATTAAAAAAAATAAAGTCTCAGCTTAAAGAGAACTATATTCAGCTACAAATGAAAGTCACCACCATTGTATTTGTAAAATAAAAAAAGCTTTATAGGTTTTTAAAATATTGTAGTAATGTTGATTTCTGTACCACTTTCCTACTTTAACAGGCCCTTCTAAGCATCTTCATAAGTGCATACAAGTTTTATGTGCACATTTGTGTATCAAGGATTACTGTAATACTGAATGACAGTGAAAGACTACTTGCACATGGCATGTGACCTATGCAAGGTTATGACAGGAGATAGCGTGTGTCTGCTCTTATATTGTGAGGGCCCTGAGGGCATCACCAGGTCTGACAGTCCCTGACCACCTCCCAGGGCTCCCCGTCCCCTGTCCCGGGCTGAGGACCCCACATCAGCCCCCAGGGGCATCAAACCCTGATCCAGCTCTCCACAGCCCTGCCAGGCCTAGCCGTGG